CATTATTAAAGGTTAATAAGATTACTGCATAATACAAAGAGAAACAGATGACACTACAATCACAGTAAAATTTTAGCACACTACTCTTTTTACTGATAGAGCAAGTAGACAAATAGTTAAGAATATAAAAGCTTTGAATAACAGTTATTAAGCTTGTTAGAACAGACACATACAGAACACTCTACCAACAACTGCTTAAGATATCATTTCCAAACATAAAAAAACAGTGACCACAAACTGAACCATAACTAAACTCTCAACAAATTTTAAAGGGTTGGCATTACACAAACCATGTTCTCTTGCCCTCAATATAATTTAATCAGAAATCATTAGAAAACATATCTAAGGGAAAAAAAATCACTCATATTTGGAAATGAAGAAACACTTTTAAATAACTGATGGTCAGGAAATAAATCATAAACATAATTAAAGTTGAAAAATAATAACCTCATATCAAAACTGGGAAAAACAATGAATCAATACTTAGTGAGAACTTATACTTTAATTGCTCATATTAGAAAAAGAATGACTAAAAATTAATGAACTAAGCACCCAAATAAAGTTAGAAAAGAATAATAAAATAACTGTAAGAAAGGAGACAAATATATACACAGCACAAGCAAGAATATCAACTAAGCCCAAGTGCCTTCTTCAAAAAGATCGGGGGTTGGCAAGCTTTTTTTGTAAAAGGCCAGAGAGTAAATATTTTAGGCTTTATGGGCCAAACAGCCTGTGGCGCAACTACTCAACTCACCACTGTAGCTCAGAATCAGCCACAAACAGTACATAAACAAATAGGCCCAGCTGTGTGCCAATAAAAGTTTATTTATAAAAACAGGAGATAAGTGAGACTGGGTCCATAGACCCTCGTTTGCAGATCTCTGAAAAAGAATAAAACTGGCAAATCTTTGGCAAGGTTGATCCGGGCAAAGGAGATTAAGTGTACAATCAATATGGGGGAGGGGGTGTGTGTGTATTTTTTTCTTTTGAGACTAAGTTTCACTCCGTTGCCAGGCTGAAGTGCAGTGGTGTAATCTCAGCTCACTGCAACCTCCGCCTCCTAGGTTCAAGTGATTCTCCTGCCTCAGCCTCCCGAGTAGCTGGGACTACAGGTGTGCACCACCATGCCCACCTAATTTTTGTATTTTTATAAGAGACGAGGTTTCACCATGCTGGCCAGGATGGTCTTGATCTCTTGACCTCATGATCCGCCTGCCTCAGCCTCCCAAAATGCTTGGATTACAAGCATGAGCCACCATGCCTGGACTTAGGTCAATATTAGGTATTAAAAAACTATAAATAACTTGACACCAGTAAGTTTGAAAACTTAGACGAAATGGACATATTCTTAGAAAAATGTAGCTTACCAAAATTGACTCAAGAAATAGACTACCGTAATTCATTTTTTAAAATCACCAGAAGGAAAGTTCAACATTTTCTTTCAGGTGTTAGATGCTGAAATCTATCAATTCTGAGATTGGGAGTTCAGAATAAAACAAGCTAACTTAATAATGCATCCTGGTTTGTGAGTTCCCAGATTCAGCATTCCTCCTCTCTCGAAGGTGAAATTCCTGGTTTTTTCTGAAACTCGGCCTTGACTTCTCCGCACTACAATGGAAACTGACCTAAGCATGGCATCACTGTTTATTCTATAGGCCCGGGTCCTTATCTTGGTAACCTGCTTAACACCTCAATTCCTCCAGAATTTCTTCTGCTCAGTCTACAGTTACCTGTTAACTACATTCTCCTCTTCTCCTTTCTATCTTTCTAGAGCTCTTTGGCTGGAAGCTGCTATCTGCCGACAAATATTCTGTAATGCCAAATTGTCTACCTATTTACATTTATGAGTATTACAAGTAGAAACTTGTAACACTCTACTTGTAATACTCTACTGCCTTGCTGTTCCCAAATTTTAGTTGCTCTCTCCTCATCCATTCACTGATTTAAGATTGGGGGCACACTGCTTGCCTAGTTTACCATCTACTGCCTGTTAATGCCCCTTATAATAGATGCAACACTGCCTGCCTGCTGGCTTTTTTCTGATATTGCTCTGGGTTTGTCCCTTAGCACGTGCCTGACACGAGCAATGTGTGTGGTTCTAAGCCTCAGCCCTCACTCTCTCCACAATCTGATGCCTATAAAACAGACCATAGTTAGCCAGGTTGTAGGACTATCACTGATTCTTTAGCATAAAAAAAAGAGGGGCTTAACAATAAGTCATTCCATAGTTCTTCACAGTCTACACTTGGAAACAAATATGTTATTATAAATACATAAACAAATATTTTCTTCTTACAAGAAAAAGAATTTTATGTACTTGAACACTTGAAAAAACGGGTATAGAGAGCTTGAACTTCATCCACTAGTGACCTACATACAGCTCTCTGTCTTGAAAGACTAAAAGAACAGTATCCACACAATTTATATGAAGAAAACCCTCAGAACAGTGAGATTAAGCCAACAATGAATTAAGAATAAGTTATATATTCCTTATGTGGAAATTGAGTAGAAACTAGCAACATTCTTTAATCTCAGGAACTTAGAAGAACTTAAAAAAATCCTGATTTTAAATAATCAGGAGAAAAAAACTGCAAAATTCTCATAATACCTAAAAGGTATACATACCTAATGGTACTTTCTTTCAATTCGCTCAGGATTTTGTAATTTCTTCCAAGATCTTAGGTAGTTACTAGTTTTAAGAAAGCTTCCTGATTCACAAACATTTATCCTAAACTATATTATTAAACCAGATTCACATACTGGAATTACAAGTAACAAGCAGGCCTAAGTGAAGCTTCTAAAACACAAGCCACAACTTCCAAAGCCCCCACCCCCACATTTCAGCCTACTGGCATTCATTTTGAGTATTTCCTTATTTTGGGAAACCCACAGTCTCATTACTTAAATACCATCTGTACCTACTTATCTAAAGAGGCAAAGAGCTCCTTAGCAAAAGCTAAGTGTAAAACAATTCTTATTGGATTTTTTTTTAAAGTAGGATATGATTTTTTTTAAAGTCAGGTTAACTAGGTTAATTAATCTTTTAGAAATAATTTTACTTTGATAAAAATATAGGTATTTTGGCTCAACTTTGTGTTTCATCTGCTATGTTTTAAAAATTAAAAGAAAACTAGATTAAAGTATGAAGCTAAAATTGCCAACACATTTTGCCTTTTGTTTTTCTACTAATGGCAGCCATATAGCCTTTTAAGTGGATCCCTCCACTGGTTCAAAGGATACTCCCAAAATAGATCAAGTTACAGATTGGCCATGACTTAAGTCATTCTGCCAACCATTTATCTGATCTCAAGCTCCAACATTCATGTCTAAAATCATTTATTTAAAAAGATCTGGCTGGGTACAATGGCTCATACCTGTATAATTTCAGCACTTTGGGAGGCCAAGGCAGACATATCACTTGAGCCCAGGAGTTTGAGACCAGCCTGGGCAACATGGAGAGACTCCCATCTCTATAAAAAACTTAAAAAAAATAAATTAACTGGGTTTGGTGGCACACACCTGTTGTGCAAGCCACTGGAGAGGCTGAGCGGGGTGGACTACTTAAGCCCAGGAGGTCGAGGCTGCACCCACTGCACTCCAGCCTGGGTGATAAAGCGAGATCCCCCTCATCTCAAAAAAAAAAAAAGCTTTGAAACAGTCTTTTTAACTCTTGAAAACGCATTTACTTTCCAAGCACTTACTGAGTCATTAGGCTCTAGGAATATAAAGATGAATGAAACATTATCTCTGCCTTGAAGAAACCTAGACTATACTGTGAAGCACAGACCAGTATACAAAAATAAGTACAATAAGGAATTGAAGTTATTGTGACAGAAGTATATGTAGGGATAAAAATGAAAAGGAAAGGTCATTCTACTTGAAGGAAAAGATAACAGAAAACACTTAAGCTTATTCTGGGCTGAATTTTAAAGATGATATGTTGACCAGATAGATGAGAAGACAAGAAATAAACGTCAAAGTTGATATACACACATAAAGTATAATATGTTATCCATACAAAATTTTATATCTATACACACACACATATACACATACAAACTTCGGCAGACTATGTCTAGAGTGCTATAAAGATAAAATAAAAATGGTTAATGCCAAACATCAAACCAAATCAATGTTCAAAGCTATAATTACTATAAAAATGTTTTTAAATGAAAAGTTATATTTAAAACCTAGTTTTATTTATCAATTAAAAAAGAAACTGCTTTACAAATGCAAAGACATTATGCTTTCACTGCTTAAATTCTGACATTTTTCTAAAAGTCACCACATACCATAGTTCCAAAGCTCAAACATGTTCAAGTTCAATAAAAATATATCCCAACACAGCCGCGCGTGGTGGCTCATGCCTGTAATCCCAGCACTTTGGGAAACTGAGACAGGTGGATCACGAGGTCAGGAGATCGAGACCATTCTGGCCAACACGGTGAAACCCGTCTCTACTAAAAATACAAAAAAATTAGCTGGGTGTGGTAGCGCATGCCTATACTCCCAGCTACTCAGGAGGCTGAAGCAGGAGAATTGCTTGAACCCAGAAGGCAGAGATTGCAGTGAGCCAAGATCGCACCACTGTACTACAGCCTGGGTGACAGTGTGAGAGTCCGTCTCAGAAGAAAAAAATACATACACACACAGACACACAGACATAGACACACACACACACACACACACACACACACACACACACACACAGCCTGGGTGACAGTGTGAGACTCCGTCTCAGAAAAAAAAAAATACACACACACACACACACACACACACACACACATACACACACACACACATACATACATATATATACATACACCCCAACACAAAAAATATGGTCTATTTTCACAGAAGAGCTACATGTTGCTAACACCTTGATGTTTTTAATACTGCTTTCAAGGAGTGTATCACATTTGCTGCAAACTATTACCAAACTTATCTCTAATGACTAGCAACACGTTGCATACACACAAAGAATAACGCGGGCTTTGTACCTCATGAAGTGTGAGATGTTTGCCATCCTTCCTCTTTGAGTCAAATCTGCCATATATTGCACTGTATTTCCGAATTTCCTCCTCTTTGTGTGGATCATCATCGTTCATCTCAAAGATGTGACCAATCATTTTGGCCAGCTTCTTGTTGGTTTTTAGCAGCTCCTTTACTTCGTTCAAGTCACTTTTCGGCAGTGTAGGGGCCATCCGCTCCACACACTCGGCCACAGAGAGCGCAGCCGCAGCATCCAGTGCCTCGCTGCTCTCCTTTGGGGACGCAGGGGAGCCCAGGTCTGCTGGGGAGAGGCTGTGCTCGCTCTCAGTGGCATGGTGGCCTTGCCAGAGTCTGGAATCACCAACACTCTGCAGCGCTAGGCTCCCGACCACATCTGACTTCCCCTGTCCCAAGCTCTGCACACAGGTGGTGGCAGCACATTTGGGGATTTTTAAATGAGGTTCCCGGGCATTGCTACTCCTTTCATAACTACTGCAGGATATTCCCAGCCATGTCGGCGATCCCTCTGGTAATTTATAGATGGGTATGCTACTGACAGGAAGGGAAGTCAGTGGCTGATTGAAAAGCCCAGGGTTTGTGACCCAGTCTCTCAAAGCCTTCTGCAGCCTTCTAACATGAAGGGGCTTGCTAGCCATGCCCACGAGTGCCATGATTTCCAAAAATTCCTCTTCTCCTGCTTCACAGAGCTGCTGGACATCATCACCACCTTGTTGGATAAAGGCATCAAAATAAGAAAGTAGGTTGGCTTTTTGTAATATTCTATACAGCTGCAACTCGCCCAGGGTCCTGGGTAAGGCCGTAGCCATTACTGTGGATGGGTCCAACCTGCCAAAAAAAAAAAAAGTAAAAATTCATCATACTTGTTTCAAACCTCTTACATCAAATAGGTTAGACTACAGGTTTTAAAAACAAAAACAAGCAGCATCTGCATAGTGACTGTCCGTGAAGGAAGCATTCTCTCTACCTACTTTATCTCATTCTGCACTACTAACAACCTTATAGGTCAATAACTAAACTGAACTATTCTCCCAAAAGAGAATAACTGTTAAGCAGGAATCTACAGGTTCCAACCAAGGCTTAAACCAAGGGTTCCACATCCCACATTTTTGACTATATACAGGAATGGACACAGCTGGAGTTAAAAATTATCAAATTTAGCAGGAGGTAAGAAGTAGAGTATGCTACCATTTGCTGAGTACTTATTGTGTGCCAGGCAATACAATAAACACTTTACGTATGTCTGATTCTCACAACGGCCCTGTGACACAGGTACAGTTATTCCCATGTTACAGAGAAAAAAATGAGCAAGATGAGTCTGGCAGGCAAAGGAAGATAGATTTCAGTATGAATTGGAGGTGAGAAAATAGAAGGTGGTTTGTTTAGGAATCAAGAAAGAAGAGGTAGAGAAAAGTCCAACAAGTAAGTGACAAGATTTGGTGATCACTTAAGATCTAAGTGATGAACAAAGTTACCGTTTATTGATGTTTATTGATGAAGGAAATAGTTACTGTTTACTGACAGTGGTTTAAGAAAAAAGTTACAAGTGACAATGAGATTACATCTGAGAGTTCAGGATTCTAACAGGCATTGGGGACACAGAAAAATAAGGATGATGGGATTCCCTTTCAAACACACAGCACTTGCACATGGCACAGGGTAGAATGCTTATGGAGAACTGCCCTGTGTGTATCAGGGAGAGAGCTGTAGGATAAGATAAGGAGGGTGGGTGATCCCTCCAAAGCAGCGGGAGAAGGCCTAAGACAGAGCCAAGGAAGAAACGTAATTTTTAAAGCCAAGCAAGACAAAGAAGTCTGTTTTTAAAGAGACAGAACAAGACTCAGCAAAGTACTTCTTGACCTCTTAGCAGCCTTTAAAAGTTGTTCACAGTTGCTGGGAGACCTCCCACATACAAAGAGGAGTTGGCCAAGTACTTCCATGTAAGAGAAACAAATAAACTTCTTGTAATCAAATGCACTCTTAGGATTAAAAGTACGCTGTAGCCCTCTATGGAGAAAATAACAAACAAAATGTGCATCAGGGAAAAATGGAAGACCCACTCTCAACTCTAACAGTATATAGTAATAGTTAGCTGGGACAATAGTTAACCAGTAATAGTTAACCAAGCTTTTCCCAGAAAGCCAAGAAGTCACAGAACTTGGGACTTGTTTTATGCCATCTATCAGAAGGCTACACAAAATTCTAGTCTCAGTCACTTGAAGCCAGGAGAATGGGTGTCCTTACCACTCTAAGCACTGACTACTCCCCATCTCCTGGAACCTCTGTGTCATCCACAATCTGTTCTGATCAACTAGTGACTTCCTCAAATTTTATGCCTCTTTATTTGCAAGGGCTAGTATGGGCATAACCAGGTGACCTGATGACTTCCCAAGAGACAACAGAATTAGGGCCCAGTAGCTTCTGCTAACACCCAGGAAATCACCTGGGGTGCTTTTGAAAAAGTTTCCCAGGTGCCTGAGATTCATCTCAGGAGATTCCCATGATTAGGCAAATCTGAAAGACTATACAAGATTCCTACTTAATAAATCCTCTGGGCACCACAAACTGCTACAGGTCCTGTGATGATCCAGGTAATTCTTTAGGTCAACCTTCACATTCATGCCACCTCAGTCCTCTGGATGAAAACGTTCTTGCATCTTCTAAATCACCTAAAGGAGGCTCTGCATGTCCTCCCACTCCAGGGAGAGTCTATCATCTGCCTGGACACCAACTCACAAAAACAGCTGTCAGGAGTTACAGACCCAAGTTTACGGCTGTATTAAACTATACTATACAAATAGAAAGGCTGCTAGAAAGTGTCAGAGGTAGAAGAAAGGAAATTTACTTTCCCATCATACACATCATGCAACTCCTCCATAGGCTTTCAATGCAATGCTAAAAAAAGAACATGTATACACGTGTATATATTTACACATGATCAAAATAGACTGTGGAAGACACAGAAGTTCCAGAACATGGGGTTTCCCAGTAGTACACACACTAAGAGAACTAGAACTCTGCAAGGTTTATGAAGTGATCAATTAACTCACCATATGTACTCCTCACATTATGAGATAGACGCGAGATTAAATGAGGAAATCTGGAAAAATAGTTTTTAATCTTTTTATGAGCAATAAGAAAAATATACATGTTAGACAAATACAAATGAGAAACTTAAGAAAAAGAACTAAAAGAATCAAGCTTATATTTTATTCTTCTGAGATAAGGCAATGATTTTAGAAAATAATTTTCAAGTTTTATCCTTTCTTATCTGTACCCATTAAAAAAAATGAAACCCCCTAGTTCTTAAGGGAAAGTCCTCTGTATGGGTAAGAAAGTAGTTATGAATATAGTATCTCCATAAAGACTGATAGGACCAAGTGTAACTCTCCAAAGTCAAGATAACAGATGGAAGAGAACTAACTGATTAGGTCCCTGGAGGCTTTCTAGAGGCCCACACTTTCCTACTGGGAAAGGAGTTTTCCTCCTAAGCTTTCGCTTTAAGAGAATGTTTCAGTTTCCTTCTAAAGCCTGCTGTGATAATGTAAACACCCACCCCTTCATATATTAACTTGATGTGATTTGAAAGAAAACTTTTGGGAGATTTTCTGTTTTCATAAAATCTATAACCATTAACGATTCAACATGAAGGTCAAATAAGTCAAAAGAAAGCTCTACTTCCATCTCTTCAAGCTGAAGTAAATATAAAATAGGTCCTTAACATCTTATATACAGGTAGCTTATAGTATTGCAAATCCACTCAGCTGAAAACTACTGTTACCTGGCCTTTTCAAGATATCAGTGTGGAAGAACCACACTGAGTCTGACTTCTCAATGAATTCCACAGTTAAGAGAAACTAGTTAACTGCATTCAAAAGCTAACCCTGAGACCTGGCTGCCAATGTACAGCCAACTTTCATTTCCACCAGCTTAAATGTTCTTCGCCCTGCTGAGTCCAATAAAAAGAATCCCAATGATGTTAGGGGAAGCGGGATTAAACAAAAAAGCATTAATTTAAGACCATTTGTTGTTGTTTGTTATTCACTGATCTTTTAAACGGTAATCTTCTAAAAGTTCCAAAACTTTTTTAAAAACTCACTTTGTCTTCTTACAGGGTAGCAGCAGTCACCTGCCAGATTCCAACTGTGCTAAGTGAAGTAAGGAGCTAGCTTGGTCGACAAAACTGGTCAACTCCTGTTTCCCTATGGAAAACAATTTCTCTGACAGTCTCCAAGTTGGGATGTGAGGATATTTTGATAGCACAGAGGGCTTTAATTGTCACTAGGGAAAAGCAGAACCATTCCTTCAAACCTGCTCAGGCCAGTTTGTTTTCCGGCCTCGCCATTCTATCAAAACTCTGGGCCTCTCTCTCATTAATCTCTTTGCTACATGGTATCTATCACTCCTTGAGATGCTCTTCACCTAACTTTGGTAATGCTGTATCACTTGTTTTCCCTACCTTCCCTTATTACATTCTATGTGCAAGAATTCTCCGAATTTTTATATTACATCTTTTTTCTATTGTGTGTCCATAATTTTCCTTTGACAATCTCACCCATTCCCGGGCTTTAATGATCACTATAGGCAGATGACCTCCAAATCTGTATTTGTAGCTTGGACCAGGGCCATGACGTTACTCCAAGCGTTCTCAAATCCAAATGCACACAAAACACTGACCACTGAGTGAAAAAGATGCCTCTCACACACGTCTACTTTGCATATGAAGGTAGATACTTCTGTTACTTAGTAACATACTAACTCACTTAAAAGCATAATTGGATTTTTGTTTTTGTCTTTATATGCATTCTCAAAAAACAAATACTAAAAGTAGTCATGAATATTTGCAATTTTTTAATTTGAAATGCTATCCTTACACCTGAGAAGTTCAGAACCATCAGCCCAAATTGTTCTTCTGAACTGTAATTTGGCATTCCACCTGGGCATTGTCAAAACCTCAAATTTGATGAGTCTAAAAGCAAATACATTATCTCATTTTCTTCTCTTCTTCCAGATTCCTAAGTCTACTCATTCCAACTCTCTTAGCTCTTTCAGTTGCACCACTAGTCTTTCAGTTTCCTGGATTTAAGTAAGTTTGGATTCCATTTTTGCTTTTTGTTCTGTTTTCTTCCAATCTGCATGTCCTTAGGCTACACCACCGCTTCTTTCTCTGCCTCAAAAGCACCAAATTCTAGTGCTCATTGCTTCTTGTCTCAACTTTGAAAAAAGCTCCTTCACCTTCAATAGACCCCACACTGCAATGCCAAGTTTCCAAACTGGCGAACTTCACCACCCCTGCATAGAGAAAGAAATCCAAACGACTCATATGGGCATCCCAGACCCAAGTGTATCTTTCCACCCTTCTCTCTGGTCCTTAGCATGCCCATATACCTGTGACAAGCAGATACACTGGACATTCCTCGAACATGCCTTTCAATTCCCTGCCCCTGTGCCAGGCATCCTCTCTCCCTCCAACCTCCACAGCCTTTCCCAAAATGTCTTTTCCACTACCCCTGGCTGCAGCTGTCCTCTTCCTTCTCTGAACCCCACAACACTCCCTCTCTCTCTCTCAGATTTTGAACTTATTCAACTACATCAAGCACTAAGCCAGTTTTCTGGGAAACAGAGGCAAGACAATCCTTCATGGAGAATCAGGAGAAAGACAAGAAGCAGAGACTTAAACACTGTGGTAAATGCTGTGCAGCTGTGAAGGAGTCATGGCACAAGGCAGGCACCTGCCTGGCTCTGCAGAACAAACTACTGTTAGGTTATATGCACCCCGAGGGTAGGAAATAGGCTTCATTCATCTTTTATTCCCTGTTATTCTTAGCAAAGTGTTCTATGTTAAATAACATCTCTGGAAAGGTTGCTGTGCAATGAAACCCAATGTCTTGAGTTGGAATCTGATCAGCAACCTTTCATATTCTAAAAGGGAGGCCTTCTGTGTAAACCGGTATCTCCATGAATTGTCAATCCAGTAACAGAGCATCCTATTACTTTACCTACAGTCCTTTTCATTCTCTCATCCTCATTACTTCCTCTTTCTTAAAAAGCTATACAGTGCACTCCTATATCGTGGCTATTCTCCCAAGAAAGCAAAAGGCGCTCTCTCCATACAGGAACTACAAGTGGTTAGTGTTACACATTACACATCGACTCTGGCCCCAAAACCTGCCTTTTAAGAATTCAAGTTCAGTCATGAGATCCTAGTTCTTTTTCTTCTCTGTTCCTATAAACGTGGTATAACTTATCGCCAAATTATCTCATAAATTATCCACATACTCAAAGGGATTTATAATCACTATTCTTGCATCTTCTCCCCTCCGTGCTACGGGAATCATTGTTATATACACATACACAAACATATACAGCAATACACATATTCACACACTTCCAGGAGTGGGAAGAAACCAAGGGAAAATCCTAGTAAGGCCTGACTTATTTATGCAGAAGACTAGAAATTCCTTCCCCCAACACAGCCTGCAGGTTTTACTTTAAAATTATCTGAGTTAATAGCAGCCTCTTACAGACTTACAAAAAATGTGAAAAACCTTGGAAAGAGTTAAGAGCTCATGAGTCATTTACGGATTAAGGTAAATTAGTTCCACCAGGTTGTTTTCCTCTTGACATCTAGACAAGATCTCATGCACATTAATGAAAGATTGAGATGAGAAATGACGATAATGAAAATAGGAGATCTGAGGACAGACTACACTTAAAGCCTCTGAAGTATTGCAACTTTAGGAGAATATAGCTTGAAGGTACAGGGCCCTGGGAGAAGGGTGAAATGGGTACATGATAGGCTGAAACTGAAAAGGTTTATAAAAAGCAGGAATTTGACTTAGGGAAGGATGAGCTTCTATGTCAGGTGTGTCCAATCCTTTGGCTTTCCTGAGTCATACCAGAAGAACTGTCTTACGCCATACAAAAAATTCACTAACACTAACAAGAGCTGATGAGCTTAAAAAAAACAAAATCGCACACACAAAAAAATCTCCTAACGTTTTAAGAAGTTTACACATTTGTGTTGGGCTGCATTCAAAGCCATCCTGGGCTGCATGCAACCACAGGCCTTGGGATGTAAAAGCTTGCTCGATGCAATTAATTATTTTTGCTTTTATTCTCATTCTAGAACCCAGAACTCAAGCTAAAATGATTAAACTTTATGGGTTACTTAAAATTGCAGTTTCCCTAGGTACTAACTCCCATGCAGGTGTTTCAAGTTCCAAATGATTTACCTAGGCATGCATATTACTAAGTATTCTGTGGTGGATCATATAAGTCAAGATACTTTTGGATCTGAGCTGTGAATTAAATATAACCCTTCCAATGAATTGAGGGTAATTTGGCAAATTTAAACTGCCCTCTCCTGTTGTCTCTAAATTCTGACTGAAGCTGGAAAAAAAATTTTAGAGACATCTTAAAATTTTAATAAAAATATTCAGTGTAAGGTTAAATTTACTTGCCAAAAATAGAAAAAAACTAAATCAGATTTTGCTAAATAACTGTGTATTAATTTCGTTATAATTACAATAGGCAAATACTAGCATTTCATATAATGGCTGGAAGTTCTCAACCAACCATCAAATCATTCAACAAACATTAAGTAGCCTCTGAGCACTGACTACGCAGGCAATGTTTATAAGTTTTTCACCTTTTCAGAAATTTCTCTGTAAAAATCATTAAATTAATAAATTAATATGAGGATTACTATTTTTCTCAAGCGTCAACTTCTCAAATTTCCCACTTGTTCCATTATTAAGCTTAAGGAGTATATTCTACTATTGTATGAGTTATTGAACATGTCAGATCAGAAAGGGAGTTTGCATTTAATATAATAATTGTGCCATTCTTCATACTACTGTTCAAAAGGGTAAAAGAAGCAGGTAATATAAAAATACATCCAAAGCAAAGGGGCTAGCAATCTTCTATTATGCTCAAGTGGGTATTATTTATTGTGTAAAATGTTTAGCAAATTCCACAATGAAATATGCATAGATGGGGTGATTACACATTAGCATGATCTTAACTGTTCAAATCATATTATAAAATGCTCACTTCCATCTAAAATACAGCTTAGCATTTAAAGGTAAATTTTACGGAGATTTCATTTCCAAAAACGCACATAAATAACAGCCACAAAAAAACAGCTTCAGGCTTGTTATAATGGAATAAATGAGTCCTAAGTCTTAGGCCAACAGATACAAAAACTTGACATAACCTGGGGGACTAAGGTGGGATAATCCCTTGACCCCAGGAGTTTGAGGTCAACCTGGGCAGCACAGGGAGACCCCATGTCTGTATTTTTTTAGGAACTGGCATACTTCTGTTTTCACCCAGCTGTTACTTTAAATATTTAAAGTTCGTTAACAAATTCTTCAAAGATGTCTCCCACTTTATAATTTCTTCTTTCAAAGAAGCATCCACAGTGCAAACCCCCCAAAATCTTCAATAATAAACCAATAGGTTCTTAGCTGTAGTGTGATGAAAAGAAAATACCTAATGTTTTAACTGATTCTCTAATAAGGAGAATAAAAATCTATTAACTTTCCCATATGACAGTGGATATTATTTACCAGTTACAAAAAACAGATTACCCAACTGAATTAATAATTTTGAAATAAGATAATTTATTAGATCAAGTTATTTACTAGACATATAAGCTTACTCAATGTCCTTGTAACAGCACAGTAATCCTAAGAATTTCTGTCATTTGAATTACATCCATAATAAGAAGGCAGAATAAAATAAAAATCCACCGTGCCTCAATGTTTTTATTATTGATACCTTCACGATTAACAAGAGACCATCAGAGCCAGAAAAAGAAAACATTTCTAATATGGGAATGGTATATTAACTTTATTGCAAAATGGTAAAAATAAAATTGAAACAAAAAGTTTCTTCCAGAACTTCCTTTACATAATTTTTTTTCAAGATCTAATGTTCCAATATTTAATACCCAAAACAGGATAAAAAAGGCTGACCTAGCCAGCCCCTTACAAAGTCTCAAGAAAACCCTTACTTGCATGTTAATACCCATAAGGACAAAATATAATCTTTTAAACTGAATGAAAAGATAATATTAAATGTCTTCAATGACACAAACATGGAGGAGAAAAAGACAGCCTTGCATCTAAGAGCCACTTTTACTGGCACACAGATTAGATCAGAAGCAGCTCTTTCAGAAAAAGCTCAATCTCCATCCAAAACAGAGAGAGCAAATCCTATGCATCCTCTCTTCTCATACTTCTTATTACCCACACGCAAATTACGAAATAGCGTAATTGAGTATGTTGTTCAGGGAAAAATTTTCAAAAAAGTGAAAACCTAGGAAAGTAAGTCATTGCGTGCACACTCTAACAACAGCTAAGCATTTCCTACGTGACTAATCTCTTTTAAATTCGGCTCCTCTGTTCCTATGCAATCTCATATTATCTATTAAAACTGCCAAAATATTTTTAAACAAGATCTAAGAATTCCTCTCTCAGTTTCTGATCTTTGCACTCCTTGAGTTGGCAGACACGTCACTGGCAAACCAACTGGTAGTGACAAGTTACTCCAAATCGACTCTTTCAGATGAAATTTTAAATTAACAGCCATCCCAAATTTTCCGTGCCTCCCGAATCTCAGGGATCGAGGGGTAAGTACACGCAAGTCCTCCCGATCACTTGGCTGCAAAACTTGGTCTGCAGAATCTACAAATGGTTATTCCATTTCAACCATGCCTTTCCCCAAGATCCTGCAACATTCAGGCTTATCAGAAGGGTCGTTTCCTATCTCAAGCTTTGGAAACTCTAAGCTTGCAGACCACAAAGATTTGATAGTATTTTCAATGAGAAACATTTCACACCTCCGCATCCAAGGCTTATATGTCCCACATGTGTTTGCAAATTCCTCATCGGCCTTAGAGGCACAAAGAGTGTCTCGCTTCCCTGCACCTCAGTGCCAAGTTTCTGTAAGCCACTTCCATGCAAACTCTCCTTCCGCTTTTAAAAAGAAAACTACATTCGCAAGGGGAGGGTACCCAAGAAGAAAACCGAGACGGTAAGTGCAGCACTTTTATAAAGTAAACAAACAAAAAGCCTGCCTTGACGAAGGCGGCTGCAAAACTCTGGGGCCAGCGCGCACAACCCATATCGCATACCCCCACAGCGCCCCGCGGTCCCTCCGAGCGCCGCGTGACGCCCCCAGCCCGGTTAGCAGAATGGACTCGGCACCGCCGGCTTTCTCGGAGGGAAAATGCACAATGCACGAAATCAGGGCCGCGCTCCCTGCTCCTCGCGGCCCCTGCACACAGAATGTCTCCGGGAATCGCCCACACGAGCCCGGGGCCGCCCTCTCCTTCCGGCGCCGGCCGCGCGGAGCCTGCTCCCCCGGACACCGCCCCCAAAGTGCCCGCGCGGCCCCGCGACTCCGCCGCCCCAAGTTCGCCCGCCGCCGCTCCGGCGGGAAAGCGTCCCGCACTTGGCGGACCGAGAGTGGCGGCCGTCGGCCCCGGTACGTACTCAGCCAGTGGCTGCAGCGGTCTTGGCGCGCTCTCCCCGAGGACTGCTTAGCCCCAACTCCAAAGCGACGGCCCCCGGCTCTCCCTCCTCTGGCGGCTGCGGGAGCCGGGACGCCCCCGCTCCCATCGAGGGGGGAAGGGAAGGTGGTGGGCGCGCTCTCCCTGCTCCCCCCCAGCTCGGGCCCGCCGCTGCTTCCCGCCCGCCCGCCCCGACGGCGCTCGCTTGGCCGCGGCGGCGGCGGCTCCTCCGGGCTGCAGCGCGCGGGCGGCGGCGGCAGCGCCTCCCCCGCCGCGCCCTGCCCTCCCCTCCCCTCCCCTGCCTTCCCCGCGCGCGCTGCACCCTCCTTCCCCCTCCCCCTCCCGCCTCCGCCGCCTCCACCCCCACCCCCCGCGCTGTCACATTGGGAGATTCCGCTCTTGCTACATTCGCGGCTCCGGCTCCCGCCCACGCGCGGCCGAGTGACGCAGATCCCGGCGTGGGCCGCCGCCGGGCGGGGGCGGGGGCGGCCTCCGGGGCCGAGGTTCGGCCCCTTGCAGCCACCCCCTCCGCGGAATCCGGAGGGCGGCCCATTCACACGGCAGCTGGGAGGAACCAAGTGGGCGCCGGGAGTGGGCGGCTCCCGTGAGTCCGGGCGCGGGGAGGGGACGACCGGGAGGGAGGCGGGCGGGGGACGCCGCCTCGGGCCTGCTCTCCAGCTGCAGAGTGAACTGGGGAGGTTTGCAATTTAAAAAAACAGAATTATGTGTGAGGTTCCCGATATAGTATTTCAAAGAGCACACCCGCCAAATCCAACATTCCCCGAGAGGCTGACTTAAAAAAAAAAAAAAAAAAAATCCTAGCGCGCCGGGCTCCCCTCGCCCCCGCAGGCTCGGGGCGGAGGCGGGGAGGCAGGTGGGCCAGGTGCGCCCCTGCCCGGGGGCCGAGGCGTCCGGCGGTAAGGCGGCAGCGACCGCACGGAGGAAGGGGCAGCAGGTGCGCAGCGCTGGAAAAACTGGCGGCTGGGAGATCATCTCTGCCTTGCTCATCTTGACCCCTCCCCGCCTCCGCCTGGCGTAGGGACTAGAGGAGGAGGAGGGAAACAATGGGAACCCCGGAGGCCGAAGTGCAGTTTTGACAACTGTCGCGCTGACCGGGTAACTTAATTCCAACCTTTTTAACCTCCTGAAAATCTGCCTTTTATTTTACTGTTTAATGTTTTCTGTGTACATGGTGTAGAAAAACGACGGCGTTAGTCTAGTGCTGGTATATGTCAAATTAGAGTTCCCAAGGCACAATATAGAATTTTTTGGTTTGCATAAACTTTGCTAACCAACGTGTTAAAGCATCTTCAAAAATGTACAAGCTGGCCAGGTACGGTGGCTTACCCCTGTAATCCCAGCACTTTGGGAGGCCGAGGCGGGCGGATCACCTGAGGTCAGGAGTTCGACACCAGCCTGGCTAACATGGTGAAACCTCTTTTCTACTAAAAATACAAAAAAATCAGCCAGACGTGGTGGCGCGCGCCTGTAATCCCAGCTACTCGGGAGGCTGAGGCAGGAGAATCGCTTAAACCCAGGAGGCGGAGGTTGCAGTGAGTTGAGTCGAGCTATTGCACTCCAGCTTGGGCAACAAGAATGAAACTCCTCTCAACAACAACAAAAGCACTTAAGCTATCGCCATAAAAATTTTGGAAGTCTATTTTTTAAATCTATGTTTACATTCTTTGCAAAAAGTAATTTTATCGTGTTCTTGAACGTTAAAGAGCATTTATTAATATAAAATTACTGCAAAGACAGGTAGAATCCCGTTTTAACATACACACAAAAATCTAGTTTTATAGGAGGTCATTCCCACATCCTGGCTGGCCTCCCAGAGTGTGCCTACTTCGCTGATCGGGATACAAGGCATTCTTTGAGATGGGAAATTCTTTATGTTGCAGCAATGGATAGGATGATGATACTGAAAGCAAAAGACTTTAATCACGTATAGAACTTTTTTTTTCTTTTTGTGAAAACATGTTATAGAAATGAGTAATGCTACAATGGAATACATATAATTAAAGTTAAATCTTTTTCTTCAGCATTAGTGACAGGTTTTGTCTGGAGTAGTTGAGTTGATATTTCAAATGAGTAAGTCTGCTTAATTCCTTAAATTCTTCAACTGCAGAAATCACTGCTGGAAGTTTCTCTTAGCCCCTCTAATTGTCACGGTTTTTGCAGCTGTGGGTCCTGTTCTGCTAGAGAGAAAGTTAGGTGGTTATGTTAAAGACTAGGGAATTTCTTGGCTGGTGGGGAAAGTAATGTTCGGGCAACGAAATCTGCAAAATTTTCCTCTAATTCCTTTTTGGAATCCTGATGTTTTGCAAACACTTGTTCCTGAACAGCTGGAGACAAAGAACTTTTTTTCCATAAAGATATATAATCACTGATTCATGAGTCACGAAATTAGTAGTCTTACCTGAACTATTGAGCCTTCAAGTGGAATTGTTTCCAGAGTTTGAAGAAACAATATGAAATCCTCTTCCCAAGCTTGTCTGTGTCTGGCTGAACATGATGCTGAAAAGGAAATGTGTCAGGGCAGATACTGTCTCTTCTGACTTGTAACTGGTTTCTACAGTTAAACAGTGAAATCTATCCTTGTTTGTTTTCTGGGCACATTTAGATAGTGTATTCTTCCCAGATTAAGAATGGCACTTTTGGCCCACTTTACTTTGCCTTAAACGCCCTATGGTGCTGGGCGAAGTGGTGGGAGAAAGGAAAATGAAGGAAGGATAAAATTTTAAGCTTTTAAGCATCCAATTCTGTACGTCTGTATGACAACACTGTAGTCAATATGGTAGCTCAGAAAGAACGGAGGCATTCACCTGTATCTGAGACAAGTCAGATGAAGAAGCATGGATTCTGTTTTTCCACATTACCACTTGTTGTTGCTCATGCCACCCCTAATACCACCTCCCGACTCCAGCATACACACACAGTGTTCTCCCACTTCCACGCCTGAGGATTTGTTAGGGGAAAGCAAAAAGATGCACATTCCATCCTGGAAGGTAACAATTATGGTTGTCTGATTATCCTCTGAAGGCCCTCTGGAAGAGATCAAACAGCTTCAAGGCTTTAGTGTGTTTTTGGAGGCATCCCAGATAGGTGTAAGAATGTGGTAACACAAACAGTTCCCATTCAGACCACTTTGGATATCTTGTTAAATGTCCATGCAGTAGTTTTGGTTTCTCCTGGTGTGATTTTACTATAAATACCTGTATATTGAAGTTATTGGTTTATTCAGTACAGCTTGTTGAGCACCAAGAATGTGCCAGGTGTAGGGCTGGATGCTTGGAACACAAAGACAAGTAAGTCATGGATGGGTCCCTGCCCCTAGGGCTTTGCTATAAAACAGTGCAAATAAGAACAGAAGGAAGTCTAAAAGACAAAGGAAAATGTTTTGTCTCTGTTTACAGGTTTTATTGTCTTTTCATACACTCTAAAAGATTAATATAAAAACTACTAAGAAATGAGATTATATTATTTTTGTAATACTCCTTTGACTGCAAATCACAGTAAAATAAAAATAATTTTCTTAAAACTGGAAACATTACATTTCTTGTTACCTTTCAATTAGAGCCTAAAGGACGCGAATGTAATTTCCAAGAGGGCAAAAGTTTTTATTAACTATGGTCTTTTGTTAACTTTTGTATATTCACTAGCTAGAACATTGGCTGACGTATACTAGTCACTTAATAAATATTTGTTGAATAAATGAAATGGAAAATATGAACTAGCAGAGTTTTTGTATTTTGTAGTTGTTCTTAGTATGAATTGTATTTCCTAATAGATGTATCTAAAATACATGATACCTACTTCTGATTAAGTATATAACATTTTCAATAAAATATTTAGAGTAAGAATATGTTTTAAGCAGCATGTAAATTGTGAAGTAATTTTAGAATGTTCCTAAAGTAATTAGTATTAGTTTTTCAGGCACAAAATTTCTTTTTAAATAAATTATAAAAGGTTAATAAATACACCAAATTCTGTATTTTAACACCATTTGAAAAGTGGCCTGAGAATTATATCAAATTATGTTTTTTAAATCTATTATTCATGTGTTTATTCTTAACTCTATTACTTGCAAATATCATCCCAGGCTTATTCCTTATTATAAAAGTAAGGGCAAGACAGAGCTACTTCTGATGGCTTAAATAAATATTACTTGTACAGTTTTAAGTTTTGAAAACACTTTTTAAAAAATTTGAAAGCCTTCTTTCAAATTGTTGGCTTAGTTATTGTTTTTAACCTGTTAGCAGTAGATTTGGAAGAAGCTTATTTTACAAGCCTGTTCATAATTTTAATCCATACTGTGGAATGTGTCACAGTGTACAGCCAAATCACCACATGTATTTCCCCTCTCAGAAAACCAGATTTTGCCTCTCAAGTTTTTTTTTTTTAACTTTTATTTTAGATTCAGGGGCCCATGCGGTTTGTTACATAGGTAAACTCGTGTCGCGGGGGTATATTGTACGGATTATTTCATCACCCAGGTATTAAGCCCATTACTCAAGTTATTTTTGTGTTCCTATCCCTCCTCCCACCCTCCACTCTCAAGTAGACCCCAGTGTCTGTTGTTTCCTTCTTTGTGTTCATAAATTCTTATCATTTAGCTCCCACTTATAAGTGAAAACATGAGGTATTTGGTTTTGTGTTCCTGTGTTACTTTGCTAAGGCTAACAGCCTTCACTTCCATCCGGGTTCTCACAAAAGACATGATCTTGTTCTTTCTTAAGGCTGCTCTCAAGTTTAAAAATTAGAGAAAAATATATTTTTTTTCTGATTCTGAATGGAAGTTGAACTTCATGGAAAATAGAATATAATGTATGCCACTGAAAATATACAATCAGTATATATGACACACCTTTGAACACAAGACCAGTCAATGGTAAATGAACACTGCTCCTTTACTTTTGTCTTCTGATGGCTCTGTCAAAGTATAGAAGCATGCTGAGGTGATTCGAGATGGAAGATGCATGTTGGCATTGAAGAGCAGTAAATCACATACTGAACAAGCTATTCCCTTTACAATTCTCTTTCAGTCGTTTGAAAGAGGATATTTAA